AACACTCTGAGGAAGGAAACAATAGTTGTGTTAGAGAGTGTTTTTTGAGCACATTGTGAACCAGAATTTTCACACATAGAACAATAATGTACATTTCCTAACAACCATATTCACTTTTAGCAAGTCTTTTAGAAAAAAATAAAATAAAATGTTGATTTTGGGCAATAAAACAGGTATGCCTTTGGTACTGATATCTTTTGTAAATTTTATTTAAATAAAACTGAAGGTCTTTTATTTACTGGCCCTTTCATACTGGAACATTTAAAAATGGGGACATGATGAATTACACAACCTCTCTCAGCTTTTATTATTCTAAGATTATTTTATTATTGCTGATTTGCCTTCAGCACTGGCCCTAACCACTAGAAGACCTTGTGTTAACATCTTCCCAGGCCTCCAGGGGAGGGTCTTGAGAAATCTCTTCATTTTTTACCACTCTTACCTCCCCCTCCTTCCTTGTTTTGCCTGCTTTCAAGCCAGTGACAGGTTGCATCACAAAATGAGATTGTTCTGTAACCCTCCTGGGGACTAATGTTGGAAAAGAAAAGAAGATAAACAGAAGATGGTGTTTTCTCAGGCTATTTCACAATTTTTGATCCACACTGGAGAGATTTTTGATTAACTTTTCAGTGGTTTGACTGCATGCAGAAAGAAAATGATAGGGAAGCAGTGAGATGAGAGTGGGAAGAGAGGTAGACCATGGCCACTTCTTCCCCTGAGCCCATTCAAAATGAAGGAGTCCCTCCCAGGCATACAGTCCCATCTACATCCTAAAATCCCAGTTTTTCAGTTCAAAGACTTCCCCTAAATCTTACTCTCTGAAGTCCTTCCCAGCAGAATCCATTCTACTGATACTGTAAAATCATATTTATCTACAAGGCTGGAATCCTTTGAGCTAGGTTAAGTTAACTTACTATACTGACTAAGTTACAGTATAAGTTCTCTCTGAAACTTTTGTCCCAGTTGGCAAGCATTTCCTGAGGTCCCAAAATGATCTGAGACTAGATCTGATGATCAGAGAGATGATTCAAGACAGGTATATCTTCAATTATCCTCTTGCCCAATGCCATGAACCATCAAGGACTGCTAATCCTGTAATTATGTTAAAAAACAAAAAAGAAATCTGGCTTTTAATCTCTTACTAATTTCTCTAAGGAGATTGCTGGTGTTAGATCATTCTCATTATATCTTGATCACTATTACTCTCTACCCTTCGTTTTCTTTTTCAAAATTATACCCTGTCAAGACCTATCTTTCTACATATGGGGATTTGGATGGTAAGAACAGAGACTCATTTAATTCTGGGTGCCAGGAAGGAAGATTTTGGAAAATGAGTAAACTGAGGACCTGAATGCAGCCACAACTGCACTGTTCACAGTGAGTGACAATAGTGAAAGAGTGGAATAAAGTCCCCCAGACCACCTCACAGATATGGGACGCAAATGTTCAGTGATAATATCTTTTTGTCTCTGATGATGTCCCAGATTTGTCACACTCACTAGAATGATGCTTTCCAGCTGTTGGTGGTCAACCTACCTACCTCAGGAAGGTATTTTGCATGAGCTTTGCAGGGAATGTTGCTTTTACTTAGGCTCTCTATACTGAGTTCCTGGAAAGAAGGATAAAGTTTTGTGATTTGGAGGTGAAGGGTAGTCAAGTAAACAGAAGTCATGTAGGAGTCAAAATAATCCATGCTCTAAGCTGTCTTTATGATGTATTTCTATGTTTGGCAGTTTGTTTAATCTCCATGGCTATGGAGATTAGGAAATTTGGAATGCCACAGTCTAGGTCTGAGTTTTGGGATCTGATTCCCCGTAGGGTGACATTAGTACAGCTGCTCGCTGCTTTCTCCCTCAGTAAGTAGGGACACCCAGACAGTGCCTGGGCATGCTCACAGTTTGGCACAGACCAAGCACAGTTCCCAGGGCAGTCTAGAATTAGGATTTGTAGGGACATGAAATGTACTGTGCACTCTGAGCTCTTCCTGGGCTGTTTCTTTTACCACTGTTCGTGTTACATTTTTCATTTTACTCACCTGGGTGTTGCCTTCTTATCTTTTGAAGATAAGGGTCTTGAGGGTCTTTAGTCACATGTGGATTTAGCCCTCCATTATCACTGGCAGGAAGCTCCAAAATCATAGAATGCTTTGGATTGGGAAGGACCTTAAAGATCATACAGTTCCAAGCACCCTTGACATGGACAGGGACACCTCCCACTACACCAGGTTGCTCAAAGCCCCATCCAGCCTGGTCTTGAACACTTCCAGGGATGGGGCATCTATAACTTCTCTGGGCAACCTGTTTCAGTGCCTTACCACCCTCTAAATAAAAAATTTCCTCATTATATCTAATCTAAAACTATTCCCTTTTAGTTTAAAGCCATTTAAACTTGTGCTATTAACTTGGCTACTAAACCATTTAAACTTGTGCTACACTACCTGACAAAGAGTCCCCCTCCAGCTTTCTTGTAGGCCTTAAGTATGATAAGATGTGGTTGTGTTTTGTCCTCCTCAGAGATCTTCAAAAGCTGCCTTAATTAATAACAAATCATTTAATAACAATAATATTTTAATAAAGATAAATATTAAAATATAAATACTAAAAAATCCCTTAATAACAATAATCCTGTAATAATAAATCTTTTTCACAGGTTCATGGCACAGTCATATGTTAAGCTCACTTCTGCAGCCTTCAAGCAAAACTCATGGTCCTGGGCACCCTGTTCTGTGTGGCTCTGCTTGAGCAGGGTGCTGGTCCCTGCCAGCCTCCGCCATTCTGTGGTACAGTTGAGAGCCATGTTTGAAAAGCTCGATTCACACCTGAAATTCACATTACATTGAGAAATTTGTTCAGCAGTACTTCAACATTTTTGCATGGAAATGCTTATGGGCTGAAGGCTTTATCTATTTATGGTCTTCAACACCTAAAGCCTGCTGGTCTGTCCCTTAATCATAAATGCTGAGATGTCTTCCCAAAAATCTCCCAATGCAACAGGTTGAATAATTATTAATTGCTGTAATGCTGGACCTAAATGCCAGGTTGTCTAAACCCAGATGATTTTGAATGAGCCAGCCATACACTTTATCCCAACTGGAAGTTTTCGTTAAAACAGCAGTGCATTTGGAGAACATGATTTTATTTGAGATCGTATTAAAACCAAGTGAAACAGAAATGTGATATTAACCTGCTTGTGGCTGAGCTGATTTGAAAATTAAAATCTATTAATAAATTGTGCTACTTCTTGTATTGTTAAAGTAGATGTAATTGGAAATTTTCAGAGCACTGTTTTTTCAGTGATGCAGAAAGGATTTAGAGTTTTTGTGTAAAGGATATCAGTCACTTAATAAATCATTTTCACGGGTTCATGTAACAATCACACCTGCAGCTCACTTCTGCAGCCTTCAAGATAATCTGTTTCCTGAAAATAAGGGAACAATGCTGGGAGGGCAAAGGTAACTTTGTTTTCACTGATATTTTTGTTAGGGCCAGACGGTGTCAGGCAGAACTCTTTCCTTCCCCCACTCTCTTTGTATTTCCTATACAAAGGTCAAGTGCAATCACAGACCACAGTGAAAAGGCTTAGGAGACTCAAAAGGTTGAGAAGAAGTTATCACTGGTGACTGAGCTATTGAATCCAGATGGAAGAATCCTGTTTTAGGCAAATAGTTGGTCTGCACTGAGAAATTTTTCTCCAAATGCATGACTTTGCTCTGACAACCTCTGCAGCAGAAGCTGCTGCATAGCTTGCATTGTGCTCAAATGACCCCTGAAACAGAACTGGGATATGAATTACCCTCCAGTGTGGTGATGAGGACATTTACATGGGCCTCAGCACTCTGAGAAATACCTCAGAATACTCTATAGCACTCTGGTGAGGACATGCACTGCAAAGGACTGTCAGAAGAGTCTACCCTCAAGTCCCATAAGCAGAGGCAGCAGAGGCAGAACTGTAGTTTGGACATTGCAGCACGTGCTCCAGTGATTGAACTAGTGGATAAGCGAGTGCAGGTTATTATGTAATAGATTGGTGAATCTCATCCTTCATTTCCTTCACCTCACTGCACACCCCCCCCCCCCCCCCCCCCCCTTACACTTAGGTGTTTAATTTTGTCTCCTAGGAAACTTTTTGTACATATAGGAAATTGTGTTTCCTTTATTATTATTATTATTATTAGGTTTTGGTATGGAAAATAATTTAAAATAGTTTCAATTCAGATATTTTCTTCTGTTTTGTTTTTGTTTCTGTGTGGATTTGGGTGGAAAGAGTAGGTTCAGCAGTCAAATGAAGGATTTAACTGTGTACAGAGCCTTACTCTCAACACACGTAAGCCCTTTTGAAATACTGTGCTTTGTCCTCACGAAAAGGAAAAGCTGCTCCTTCATGTGTTAGTTAACAAAGGTTAAGTAAAGCATATTACAAACTTAATTATGTAGTGCTGTTGCAGCTTGCTTAAGTGTTAGTTTGTCAAAGAGAACTCTGCATCCTTGATAATGTTTTAGTTTGACCTGCTAACAAATGTTAATACATCTGTCTTGTACAATGTGTTTTTGTGTGTGAATGTGCATGTATTCAAGGACTAGAAAAGAAATTCTACATGTCAGATGAAGGTCCTTCAGAATTCAGCAAGTGTCATTTAAATGAACAGCAATAAATCACAGAGCACACTATACATACCCTGTACAGGACAAAATGCTAAGCAAATTACTACTTTATGTACAGTAATTCTTCAAATATTCTTCTATTTTTTAAATCACATTAAGCATTTAAGTATATGTCTTTTCAAAGCCAGAAAAAAATTGTTAATTAAAAATTGGTTAAATTCATCAAAATGGTCATAACAAGCAGTAGTTTTTTATTTGGGGGAACATTAGCAAATACACAACAGTCCTATTACTTCCTTAATTCCTTAATTTCTGTTATAAAATATTGAAGTCAAATCTTAGTATCTTATCTTAGTATCTTTTTTTTTTTTTTTTTTTTTTTTTTTTTTATTACAGGAGAGGATAAGCAATAAACATTGCATTTATTAGCTTCTTGTGAGTAAATATTTATCTATCACTCCTTGGCTGTATGCTACTGTTGCATATTCAGTGCTCCCTGACGCACCTGTACCATGTGGTCTGCAAACAGAAGAAAATTCTTCACCACATGACAAGACAGACACAACAGGTAAGGCCATTGAAACCAGAGGAAGCACAAAGAGATGAGTCAATGCAGAGCCTTATGTGTGGCAATGATCTTGGGGCACTGGCTGCCTAGCCACTGTTAGGGACTTGAATCGTGAAAATGCTTGTTTGTGAATTTAAGATGTGGGCAACATTTTGCTAGTCCATGAGAGCTAGCAGAAGCAGGCTCTTAAAGGCAAAGGTGAGAAGTTCATGGTTGATGAGATAAAAAGTGGGAGTGCTGGAGGTACACAAAGAAAGGAGCAAGGTGTTAAAAGCACATAGTCCAGGAAATGGTTGCAAGGCTGGGTGCATATGAAATATCTCAAGTAGTTTTAATGAGATGAGATTAATGAGTGTTCTAGCTGTATCCCAATATTGTGACTTTGCTCTGTGATGTCTTTTACATGCCAAATCCATCACCTCTCAATGCCCTTTTCTCCAGAGGGGTCTTCTTTACAATGCTGAAGATAACAAAGGTCCTCTGAAAGACGGAAACACATTGCTTTAGCCACTATAGAATCACTGCATACCACCAGAATGTATAGTAAAATGTAGTAGGGAAAAAGAAAGTAAAAGGATCATAGCTATAAACTGAAACAACTTTTTTTAGAGGATCCCTGGAGGTTTTTTCCCCCATTGTTTGCCCTGCTTATTTTACAGATTACAAAGCTTTTCAGCCTGTTATTAGCAGGCAGAATATTTTACTGTGTTGTCTTCAAATTCTTACTTGGATAGATTTGTAAGTAAAAAGATAGTCTATGTTATAGCATGTGGTATTCTCCACTTAAGGAGATGAAAAGCCACAATTGTGCTATGATATTTAATTAAAATATAAAAAAAATAGAAAGCTATCAGCACAAACCAATTAAATAATACTTCCTGTCTCCACACGGATTTAGACAACATGCAGATATATATTTACATTTATATTTTATTTGGAAAAAATAAACAGCTTTTACCCAATAAAATCAGGCTTGCTATTTCAGAAGGATTATCCATCCACCGTTGCTGGAAGCTCAAAAATAAATAAATAACAAAAAACTTCTGTCCCACATATCAGATATTTTAGAAACCTGCAAAGCAATCACTCAACATATCAACTAAATTTCAGAGTCCACAAAACAGCAAACGTAAGAATAAATACATGTAAGTATGTGTAAAGAAGTTGTCATGGAGATGACAACTTCAGGCATTCCTCTGTCCCTTACCTTCACTGGGCTCATCATGATCACAAAAATCATTCCTGAATGGATGAATTGTTTAACAGTTCATCAGTGCCTCAGGTCTGTTCTGTTTATAAAAAAATGCCTCTAGCTAAATAGATGTAGTGTGTTGTGCACAACTCGTTCGCATGGATGGTATTTATTATGCAACCTAACCTAATGAAGAATTGTCACTTCAAAATTGGCCTTGTGTTGAGCAGGCATTGGATCAGATGGCCTTCATATGTTTCATCTAACTTATTTGTTCTGTGATTCATAGAATCATAGAATCATAGAATCATAGAATCATGGAGTGTTTCAGGTTGGAAGGGACCTTAAAGACCATCTAGTTCCAACCCACCTGCCATGCACAGGGACACCTCCCACTAGAACAGTTTGCTCAAAGTCCCATCCAACCTGGCCTTGAACACTTCTAGGGATAGGGCATCTGTAACTTCTCTGGGAAACCTGTTTCAGTGCCTAACCACCCTCTAAGTGAAGAATTTCTTATTATATCTGTTTTTTATCAACAATATTTTCTAAGAATATAAATGTTCTCAGAAAGTGAATTAACTGACTAATTTTGTGCTCATTTAAAGGACCTTACTCATGTGACTTCCAGTTTTAAAGGGAGTTAAATATTTTGGTGTTAAGGAAAGGTGAGACCAGTAAAAATGAAACTTTTGAAAGAAAATGTGTAACGCAAGGTTTTTGATCAATATGATTTCACCAAAAGAGAGCATTTTTCCAACGTAGTTTCATGTTGATTAACAAATTGACTCTCTTCTGGGAGATCTATACCCTGATACCTAGCAGAAGTAAATCAATATGGTCCAAATGACTTTGAAATTATGTCACTGCAAACCATTTATGAATCTGGTCCATCCCTTCCATTAAAATTAATGGAAGAAAGATGAGTCCAAATGACCTAGAATACGTTTAAATGATATTTTCTTGAATTGTGTCAAAACAATATTTTTAATCTTTATATGTTGTTTGTGTGTGAGTATTAAATGTGCTGAATGACCTAAATGTAAACTGTGATTAATTATTCCTATATAAGCTCAGTCTACTTCCAGTACATTATTGACATACAATAAAAGACTGTTTCCATCAAGAACTTGGCATCCTCTTGAAAACTGGATTTGGTTAAGGCAACAAGAATGAACATAGTAGAAATGGGGAAGTTAATCAACTTAAGTCAAAAGTCACAGCTCAAATGATAATTTATTTTATTATTATTTTATTTTATTTTATTTTATTTTATTTTATTTATTTATTTTATTTTATTTTATTTTATTTATTTTATTTCATTTCATTTCATTTCATTTCATTTTATTTTCAAGTGTATTAACAAGTCCTGGTGTTAACTAACAGTATGAAATACTAAATTGTTCTTAAAATCTTTCCTTTCACTGTTTCCTATTTTTGTACTTCACTAAGTACAAAATGATGCAATTTTCCATGAACATTATAAAGGTAGAACCTACAATCTCTTCTTGTGTTGAATAGTTCTTTACTGTATGCACAACTTATAGGTATGGTTGTCAGATCTGATCTTGTATCTTTGAGCATTTCTGGGGATTTTATTTTGGTTTTAATTATCTGTCTTTTTTTTTTTTTTTTTTTTTTTTTTTTTTTTTCCAGAGACTTTAGAAGTCATAGTTGATATACTTCCACTAACATGAACTTTCAAAAAGTAGGCCTAAAAATAGATTTTTCCTCTTCCAGATTCTATTCAAGTACTAGAGCAAATTAAAAGTGTGGCTTACCTAGGTATGAGAATAAAATGTGGGCTGAAGTCATTCTCTATTAGGGGACAATCTAGATGATGTTGAATGATATGAGACCACTTTTAGTCATTTTGTTGCAGATAATACTGGCTCCTGTGACAAAATTAAGGGAATTGGGACTTGGAAAAAGAGCTTGTGCTTTCACTTTTTAGAAATTTTCTTCATAAATGTGGTCTGAACTCTTGCATGTGTCTTTTCTTCTTGTCCTTAGTTATCAGATTTCTGGCACAGTATATTGTGGATTATGTCCATATAGATATTCCTGTTGTCTCTCAAGAATGCATTTTGTGTATTGCTTTGGATGGCTTTTAGAGTAAGTTCATCCCCTTTGCTTTTGTTACATTCATAAGATTTATTGTTCTTTTCTGGATGCGAAACTCCTTTTTGCAGGAGATGGATGGCAATTGTAAAAAGGTTGGGCACTTTGGAGAGTTATCTGCTAACCTAAATATTGATATTTTCTTTCAGACTTTATCACACGCCCCCATTTTAAGATGCCCATAGTTATAAAATTCCATTAATTTCACTGGAAGCCAGACAGAAGGTCAGCTTTGTGGAACAAATTTCTGGACTGATGCTTTTTATGGAACCCATAGCCCTTTCTAAGCAGAGTTCATGAACTGAGATCCAGGAGGAGCATGAATTTGTTCTAAATGATGGCTCTGATTAGCCTGCAAGAACATTTCAATGAAAAAATACTGTTGGAAACATACGTATTTTCCATTAAAAGCTGCTTTATTTCAGATTTGTACTTCAGAGAGTAGATCGCTTGACTATAGAGTACTTGCATGTGCATGCAAAATGCACATGACTATTGAAACATTTCTAGCACTGTAAAAAGAAGCTAGTTTGTCTGTCCATCTTGTGCAGCCTCAGAGTGATCTCTTAGAACATTCATTGGCTCTGTACATCTATGATTAGCTCTAGGTTTGCAGTATTTGCTAATTCTGCAGACTTCAGGAAGGTTGTGTGTTGCTGATATTTCAACTCAGGTAGAATAGAGTGATACATATGGGTATTGTAGCTACTTGCAATGAGCTTAGTGAGAAGAACTCTAGCTGCAGAAGGGTTTGGAGGCAACATCAAGACATCAGTATATGAGCACATGATGAATTTAAAACCTACCTGAACTTTAATTTCATAATGAAAGATCCTGCGTGTTTAGAAGTGGGGTGTTCACAACAGCTAATTTAGCCTTGGGGCTTTTTCTTCCTAAGCTGTCCCTGTGCTCTGTATCAAGGAAGTAGCCAGACAATATTGCAGAAGGAGGTTAGCCCCTGAGGCTGAAGATAGCCTTTGTAAATACTCTCCACTACAGCTTTCATATTTTTACTCAAACCTGTGGTACGTGAAACTGCATTCATTTTCTTTGGGAGCTGACTAGACATGTCGCACAAACCAAAAATGTGTACCCAATTAACATGTTTGTTTCTGACTGACGGTGTATTATAGTAAAAAATGTGTATCTCATAATTAAAGAACCAAAAAAAAAGAAAAAGAGAGAAAAATGAAAAGCCAGTCTAGAATAATGTCATAATATTTGAATGCTGTTATTTTTAAAAATTAAAAGTGCAGAAAAATGTTAGGTCTTTTTATTTCTTAGAAAGCATTTTTAATTCAAATGAAGACAATTTGGGGAACTAAATAAGTCAGCTGTCATTGTGGTAACTATGCATACTCCTTTCTGCTTTGACTGTAGTTTTAGCTGAGAAGACATTTTCTCTGGCATTGATATGTCTGAATCTGTCAGGAATGGCCTGACACCTATCACTTCTCCATATTTCCAGGCAATTTGGAGCTTCCTCATTTGTGATTTACATGTAGTATAAGTGATTATATCCCAATGCTTTAAAGGAATTTCAGAGATTCTACATCCCTACATTGCACTGAGACCTGTGTGCAGTAGCTATTTACCTCTCTCAACCATTCAGGAGGTCAATTCCTTGTGAACAAGGAAATTCCATTTTCTGCCCCCTGTTCCTAACACTGTGGATTACTTTGTTTTTTCTACTTGGCTAGAAAACAATCTTCTCTCAGACCATTGCAAGTCACATAGGAGGTAACAGTGGACAGTTGTGTGTTTGTGAAACAGGAGGACTTTCTCCATCCTAGTGGTCACTCTTGGCAAAAAAAGCAGCAGACAAGTTCTGTTAATGGAGGGACCTCTTGAGTGGCAGTCAGGGAACATCTTTAATGAACCGTTAACATACCACATGCTCCTAGCAAGAAATACAAAACATAAGGTCATGTTAAAGTTGCTTTTACATATCAGGTGGTTCTCAAACTTGATATATGAGATAACTTGTCATATATCAGATGATTTTAAAACTTTATAATTAACGATAATTTTATTATTAGTTTTATTTATTTATTTATTTATGAATGGACAAGCAAGGGCTTGTTCATAACTCTTACCAAATTAATTTAATTAGACATAGAATCATATAATCATTTAGGTTAGAAAAGACCTAAAATATCATCAAGTCCAACCATCCACCTAACACTACAAGTCCACTGCTAAACAATGTGCAACATCCACACATCTCAAATACCTCCAGAGATGATGACTTCACCACCTCTCTGGGCAGACTGTTCAAATGCCTCTGCACCCTTTCAATAAAGCAATTCTTCCTGAAAAACAATCTAAACCTTCCCTGGCACAAACTGAGGCCATTGCCTTGCTTCCTATCACTTGTCACCTAAGAAAAGGGACCAACACCTACTTTGTTGCAACTTCCTTTCAGGTAGTTGAGAGTGGTGAGTTCTCCCCTCAGCCTCCTCTTCTGTAGACTAAACAACCTGAATTCCCACAGCCAGCCTTTATATGTCTTGTTTTCTAGTCCCTTCACCAGCTTCATTGCTCTTCTCAACACACGCTCAAACAACTCAATGTTCTTCTCGTAGTGAGGGTACCAAAACTGAAGGTCGTGCTCAAGAAGTGGTCTCACCATTGCTGATTGCAGAGGGACAAACACTTCTCAAGTACTTTTGGCCACATTATATGATGGTATGCAGTTGTTTACCTTGAGTATAGTTTTTAATTTTGAGCACATGTGAACACTGGCTTTACTTTGAATACATGTACTCTTTTCCATCCACTTGTATTGTCATTTTGGAGCCATCTGGCTACATGTTCTTTTTCACATCCATCAGCTAAATTAGAGATTCCTATGTAAAATGAAGCACTCAGGAGCATTCTTTGGATTTGTATCATGTTCTTGGGGCAACTTGGATCTGCAAAACAAAAGAATCTTCATTCCTGATATTTTCCTCAGTTACAGAGCATACATGAAATCTCCAGTGAAATCAGTCTTATTACATTGATATAATGTTGGACAGTGTTTTCCACCAGTTATTTTTGTACAAAAGAGAGGTTAACCAGCTATTTTTTATGTGACAGCCTTGCAAATGCTCTTCATACTTATTTATCAAGGTATTGACAATTATAGAGACAAGAAAATCTCTCAGATGAGAAATATTAGTGGATTTTCTCCCATTTATTTTATAGCATTTTTAATTCTGTGTTTACACTAGTATAGAAATGCTTATGAAAAGGAAAGCAGAGCATCTATAACTAGTTCTATTATATATACATATCAAAAAGGGATATCATACACATATTTTGGCTATCCCAGTTAGATCCCAGATAACATTATGATATAAATGTTTTGCCATATTTCAGAAAGAAGTTGTATGGTATATTTTTAAATGCCATTTCCATTGTAAGAATACTGATTTCATAATGTTACAATACAATTCAATACAGCTGTGAGTACATGTCAAAGGAATTATGCTTCTCTAAATATGAAAAGTATATTATGTATTTTAGAGAAGTGAGAGTCTACACTAAAATCCATATATATATGAGATAAATATGTGAAAGCATATGGAATATTTAGTCCAGAAGGTACATTAAAATAATAAAAATAATAGGAAAATTTTATTTGTAATATAAACTAGTCTGGAGTTATTCTGTTGTGCCTATAACTTTTCCTTCCTTCCTTCCTTCCTTCCTTCCTTCCTTCCTTCCTTCCTTCCTTCCTTCCTTCCTCCTCCTTCCTTCCTTCCTTCCTTCCTTCCTTCCTTCCATTATTTTTTTTTTTTTCTAAATATGTTACAGCGTAACTTCTGTAAGCAAACACTGAAGCATTTGCAATTTTAGGGAAGTATTTTGCAGGAGTTCAGACTGCAGCTTGCTTAACTAGAGTTGATCAGCTTTTTTAAATAACATACTATTTTATATATTATTACTATTAAATATAATTTAAATTAATAAAATCTAAAAATATTAAGCATTCCACGCTTACCTCTTTCAATGGTAGGAGAAAAGAAAAGCAGGAACTAAAATACAACAGAAAATGTTTCTTACATGTCTTGTTTCCTGAAAAAAAAACCAACACAATAGAAACGAAGACCAATATATTTTTATTTATTTATTTTTATTTTTTATTTATTTTTATTTTTATTTTCTTTAAATATTTTTAACAAAACTTAACTGTATTTCTTCCTGATTGGCTGAATGTGTAATGTAGCAGTCACAGCTAACATAACAGAAGTGTAAGGTGACATCTTGAACACAGTTAAGTCAATGGGATAAATGTCCAAATTTCCTTCATGAGTTGAAATTGCTGTTCTAACCCCTCTAAAAGCTCTTTCAGATTGACTTTTTCCATGACTAGTGAGTCTGTTTTGAATTTTTATAATACATTAGAAGGGCTACTTCTGTTATGACAGTGTGAGAAAAGTATGCTGCTGTTGATGTGAGTTAAAAATAAGTATTCAAATAAATAAAAAATGTGACTGATGCCAGATTCAAGCTTGGCTTGTTCCATTGTCCTCACAGAAGGAATTAAAATAGCTCAAGCTGAAATGGTGTTGTTCTATATGAAATGTGCTAATATTTGAATATTACATGAAGGTTCAGGTTTCTTGCCAAAGGCTGCACATAAATCTGTAGGAGAGAGAGGAAATTAGCCTAACTGCTGAGCTCTTAGCTCTTCACTGGTCTTAGGAACACTTTGTCTTGATTTCAGGTTTTTCATGCAAAGATTCTATACCCAAGAAGAAATTAGCTCAGTTTCATCATGATGTTAACATGTCCCTATAGAATCTCCTACTAGTCTCAAGCATGAATTAAGTTATACAAATATTAATAAATCAAACTGAATAGAAATGCTTTATATGTTTTATTTCAGTGAGTTCTGGGAATGCAAAGCAGCTTCAATGGAGATACAGAAGGGAGGACCATGGCCCATTACCTCTTGGAATTTCCTGATTTGAGGGGTTCACTGAGGAACCTAAATGCTGCATTTGAGGTTAGACTCTGCATTTGACTGTGCATACATCTTATACATTTTCACATATTTCATGTGAAAAATATTATATATTTTACTCACACATTATATATATTGCATAGCACATTTTCGTCTCTGTTGTAGTTGGAAGGTATGGTTTGTTCAGCAGGGAAAAGTTCACAGACTAGAGTGTGTATGCTTTTTGCCAAAGTATATTCAACGCTGAAATTCTCAGCAATGCTGTCTGTTTTTCCATCATTTAAAAGAAAAAAAATGTCCTGGTGAATCATGAGTTATAAACTTTAGCTCTGATACTACTGGATATGTGTTGTTGGCCTCCCAGCTAATTGTGGAATTAGACAGAAGACAATGGGGAATGTGTAACCCACTGAATAGCATGTGTTAGATATCTCCCTCTGACAGTACAGAGTTGACTATGGCTTCTACCTCAGAACCTTGCCAGTCCCATGGATGTATACGTGCCTGCCTACAGTTCTGGTGGCCTCAGGTTAAATTTGAGAACCATCATATTTGTGAATGCGTGGGCACATTCACTGCATTGGGCTGGGGTCAGGTCTCTGAAATTTTGTGTTGGGGTAGAATTAGGTGCAAATAGTCCTTAGAAGGTTGACAGCTCATGAAGAGGACAATGAAATATTCCAAGCACACCCTCTCTTGTGAGTGAGACTTCAATGCCCAAGCAGAAATCATAGTTCAGCTTTCAGCCCTCTTTCAGCTGTTCCATCCTCCTGTACCAGCACTGAGTAGTTTTCTGACAGCTGGGAGTTAATGTTAGCCTTGGAGCCCCTGGCCTCAACTTTTCTTTCAAACTTCTCTTATGTTTATTCATCTGATGAAATATATTAATGTGCTATTTTTTAGTGACTTGGGAAGTCTATTATTATTATTATTATTATTATTATTATTATTATTATTATTATTAAATGCAGCATATTATTATTTTTAAATGCAGCTGGAAAGTGCTTTATTAGCAGCAAAATATTGGTGAGCTGTTTAACTTACAATGACAAGATCTAACTCCTTTTAATTTTGTATAATGTAAAAAAGCAAAAATCAAAGAAAACAAACCTTTCAGCATATCAGGTCAGGGAACAAAAGACATCCTCACTGGCATGGAATGAAAGGGTTATAGAGGAAGAAATTAACTACTGGACATATGTGATTTTGCCAACTTCACACATAAAATAAGTTAACAGCAGTGCCTTGGTAATTCTGCATCTAGTCAGGGTGGAGCAGAAAGGAAAAGAGCTTTTAAAGAGTGCTGAGGACATAGCTCATAAATTAAGACATTCCTTAGCAGCTTTAAGCAAACTAGCCCAGGGCCCAGTAGCACTTTGGTCATAGCAGTTGCAAGCTGTATTTGGGCTACTTATTGAATATTTACTTTATTTCTTAGGGCTTCTATTTCATAGGCTTTTATTGTCCATGCTGAGCTCTGGGCTACTTGGCCAAATGAACTAACTAGCTTTAAGATAACTACATGACCTGTGGTATAAATATACCTCAGTAGCATGAAGGAGGGACTTTTCTCATGTTGTTCACATAGGAATGGAAAAGGGATCTGCTCCTTATTTTGTATAACAAGTGGCAGTCACCTGCTTCAGGGAGTGCCCCAGTTGCAATGAATTAACAGTTGTGAGAGAGCAGAGCTAGTCTCACTGTTGTTAAAGAATAATATAATTGTTTGGGCAATGTGATACTAATACTCCTTGGGAAAGATGGTTTGAGGATTTTTGTATTTCACCAGAATGAAGATTTGTTCCCTGACTCCCAGTTCAAAAAGCAGAATTTTCTGGCATCCTCAGGTATATGTCTCTAAGCAACTGAGCTAGCATGTGCTCCAGCAGGCTGGAGAAGTGTGGAGAGAAGGAACCTTTAGGGAAGAATTTAGAACTGTTACTTTGCCACTGCCTGTCTCTGATTTCTATAGATGCTGGAATAATTAGGTGCTTAGGAGCGGGTATTTCATTGTAATGTACTCCACAAAACTGTCTTTAATGAGAAGAAGAAGAAGAAAATAAGCTTAAAAAAAAAGCTTTACCATTTTTATTATTATTATTTTTTTTTTTTTTCACAAAGGAAATTCTTCAAGGAAGAACCATATTCTACCCTGGGAAAATTACTTAGGGAAGGATGCAGCAAAATGTGTTTTGCTCACAGCAAAATTTGTAAACCTGCAGTGGATAAGAATAACATATTTCAGTGTTATTTGAAATTGGCAAAAAGCCAGGTTTTCCTGCCTCACTTTATTTTAACCTTTTTGCAGTTGTATAAAATACTGTTATATTTATCTTGGGAGAGATACACGACTGGCATGAAGTTTCAGGAAAGTGTGTAAGCCTACAGAATAAAGCACATGATGGACCTGATTTTTCTTGCACTAATTTATTTTACTGAGCTAAGCTAAATTCCACATATTTACTCCAGGCTCAGAGAGTGGATATTAAAGCAGGAGGATTTAGCATGGCTGGAATGTGATGTCATGAGAGAGTTTTTGACTTCATTAATTACTTTGAAAGTGCTAAAAAAAAATGTGCCGCAAGGATTCTAAACAAAGGCAAAATATGTAGTTACATATAACCTTGCCTGAAGTCCTTTTTCAGGGAAGAAAGTTCTCAAATGAAATTAATTAGGAAACTGCCATATCTTAAAAATCAAAGTTAGATTCCTTAGTTGAAAAGTTAAAGAATTAATGCAATTAATTTCTCCTTGCCAACATTAAAGAAGGAATGAAAATGATGATTGGAAGTGTTCCATGGAAAATGGCGATGGAATGTACGAATGCTTAAGCTTTTTTCTTTTCTCTTATGTTCTAAAAAATATAATATTCTCTAGTAGTTCTTTTTAAATGGTTAAGGTTAAAGGAAGTCAATGTACCAAATACACATTAACATGTATTATGGTTATGAATTTACTGCAAGGAAAAGTAGAGTTGAGTAGCATATTTCTAATATTGGAGCTCCAAAGTGATTTTAAGGAGCTCTGCAGTTGTGCAGTGCCACCTGTTTGGGCTATTAGATAATCTAATTAATGTGCATTTAATATCAAAGAGATATGAAATGTAAAGTCTGATAAAATTACTCTAAAAATTTGTCACACTAAACTAGTATTTATGTTTCAGCTAGCTTCTACCCGGCAGAGGCTAAGGCAGTGTGGTCAGCATTGGTGGGGCTGGAAGGGAGCAGAGCTGCAGCTGTGTTGCACAGTGATGGAACCTGGAGCAGGATGATATGTGCCAATGCAGTATTGGTGAGATTTTGCACATGGACTGTGCATGTAGCATGCGTTCAGTACATATAACATGTACATACATGTATCTTAAGTATATGTAACATGGCTGTAGTGTGTGGGATATATTGCACAGACTGACTGCTTATGTACAGCTCACTGATTTTTGTTATTGAATCCTCTTCTCAAGAAGTTAAACATGGTGAACAGTGAACACAAATGTCTACAAAACTTTTGTTAAAACCTCCAACATAACAGCATTTTGAAAGTTACAACTTATAAACATGGCAATTTCAGAGCAGATCATCATTTGGAATAACAACATTTCTGACTGCTGTTTTTACACTTTGTGCTCATGCCAGTCTATAATGCTGACACAATTTTAGGAACATCAGCAACTAACCTAAAAAAATATTTTAATAAATTAATACTTTGAGAAAAAAAATGTTTTAAATTTTGTGTTAAAAATCTGATCTTTCTTTAGCAATCTCAAACCAAGTTAAGAAATTAAGTGTTTTTTGCTGTCCCATCATTTTTCCTTCTCCACATATCTGGTGTTAGACTGGAAAGTTATGCTGTGCAGTTGTCTCAGAGATCATGGATGTAGAGTTCATGATTCAGATACTTTCCACAGTCAAGTGAAGATGATAAAGTGAAACACCAAGAACTGTATTCTCAACCCTCTAGTCAAAATTTATTTATCAACTCCCTCATTTTGCATTACCTAATAAGAAACAGTTTGGACAGACCTTCATTCAGCTTTGATTTTGAAGATTTGGTTGAATTTCTTGAAGACTTATTCTGTGTTTTTTTTTTACCGATTTATTTATTTATTTTTAATATGGGGCAACCCATTGCCCAACATTTTCAACCAGGCTTCTAAGCATAAGGAATCATTAACCAATGAACTGTACAGCTGAACATTGCCTTGTTTTGCCAGTGAGATCTTTACTCTGGAAACCAGCAGTTGCAGAAATAATAATTCCTAGCTAATTATAATAATAATATGTTATAGTATATTAGCTTACACTTAGCTACCAAGTGTAAAGATTCATAACTAGGTATATGTACTGTCTGGCTTTGATAGGTATGATCCAAGACTGAGGATCTTGGTCAGAGGTATCAGCTGAGTAAAATCTAGGCTTTAGTTGCAAACCTTCATGCTGCAAGGACTGGCAGAGATTTCAGCATACCTGCTGGCTGAAAGAGTTGAGGTACTGGATTATCTGCCTTGCTAACACTTTGGCAAATAAGGCCTTGATTCCTACTTGGAACACTTAGATTTTATAAATTTAATAGTTACTTATTTTAGTACAAAACTCAGGCTAATGTAGCTTGTCGTAGATGTGAGGTATGGCACAAGCAGCTTTGTGTGAAAGAGAAGGTGTAAGTTTAAAGCAACTGCCCCTATTTTTCCAGAAAGCTTCATTTATTTTTGCCAAGATCATGAGTTCCTTAAATCAAGAGTTTCAGTTGCTTTATATTTCTGGTGACTTTCTGAAACATCCAGCCTTGCCTAGACAATTTCTGCACACAAACATGCTTTCCAATACAAGAATATATGTTAAACTAAAAATATTAAATGGTAGAAAAATAATTCAACATGGTTCCAAATAATGTCTTTTCCTATGCTGGCTGCAGGGTCATCCATGTGTATGATTCAGTTTTAAAAAGCTAACACATGAAAGAGAAGATTAAACATCAGCTCACCAGTAGTAATACTGTCTGTGTTTTGTGGTCTAGAAAAGAAAGAGCCAACAAGGACTGTAGGTAGCATTTCTGCTCAGTATTCTGAATAGAAAAATCCCCTTATTACACTCAAGTTTTGTGTCCCCTGTAAGAGATGCCAAAGGGAGTCCTTTTGTTTGGCAGATGGTGTATTATGAGTGTCCAGAGGCTGTATCAGGGAAAAAGAGAGGATTTATCATACTTTACAGACTGATCAGGCAGTGGAATTACACAGACCAGCCATGCTCAAACCAAAGATGCTTTCACTCTCCAGCTGCTTTTGAACACAAAACAGTTGTGTAGGTATTTTTGAATCAAATGGCTGGAATCATTTTGTAATGTGAAAAGGGTATAAATAGCAGCTGCAATTTTATGAACGTTATTTGTAGTTTAGAGAACAGACACCCCTGTTTTTTGATCCCCTAATTAGGCAGAATTTGAAAAAGTTGTGTGTAATTTGTAGTTCAGTTAAAAATCCCAGTGTGCTTATTTCAGAATGACATTAAAAAGCTTGTAAATCCCCATCAGAGCTTTTTGCTCCTAAATTAATCCCCAGTGGCAACTGAGGAAGTGAGATAGATCATAGAAGTTCACAGGACAGAATCTAATGACTGCTTTACTCTACTTAGGTAAATCTTCAGGTGGAGGGAGGCATGTGTGAGCTCTGGGTTCCTGTTCCCTGTTGGTCCACATAAGAGCAGGAGACTGGTCACATACCAGGGAGAAAGGCATTGCCTACAGGAAAATATTGGACTATCAGTCTTACGAGGAATACACTGAGGCTGAGTATATGATGATAATCTTCCAGTCATTAAAAGACAAACTGGAAAAAAGTAATATTTTTGCCATGTCTGTGGTGGCTAAGCAAGAAGAAAAGTTTATCAGTAAAGGTTCAAGTTAGATATTGAGACTTTTTTATTTTTATTTATTTATTTTTTTGTAAAATAGGTATAGTTCTTGTATAGACTTCCTGGAAGAACGCTTGGTTCTCCATAGCTGGAGATCTTCAAAAACAGTTTAGACAAATAGGAACATCCTAGAGCAGAAGGAATTCACCTTAACCTATTTTTAGAGATTATTAAAATATAAATTAAAACAATAGAGATGATCTTTTAAACTTGGATCTGGAAGAAACCTGACAGAACAGGTCATGAAGGCTGTTAGTCTAGTGTAAAGTGACTAAAACTATATTATTAAGCAAGAGGATATGAAGGATGAAGAATATATATATATAAATTAAGTTTAAGCATAAATGGTCGTTTTTTAGAACGGCATGGGATTACTGGTTGAATCTTACGGGGTTTGTTCCATAATGTGCCATCTAAGATACTCCTAAGTAATGTAGAAAAAGGGAAGAAGTGGGACTTGACAAAGACTGACAATAGTACAAAGTGTTTCAGTGACAAAAAAATAAATAAATGGGGTCTAAAGAGCTGCTCAATGATCCCTAAATACTGAAAGACTAGGCAGATAAAATTCATATTGACAAATGCAAAGTAATGCACATGGGAAATATACTATCTAAGTACATACACAGAATAGTGGGCTTTAAATTAGGCTCAGGAAGTCCCTAAACTGCTGACTGCCAGAAAGTGGGAGGTTTAGGTTTACAGGGGAATATCACTGTATGCATGCTCTGCATTTTATACGTTCTCCCTAAACATCTGCTACTGGCCACTGTCAGAAAGACAGGAAACTGAGCTAGATGGACCTTTTGTCTGACTCACTGCAGCTGTTCTTATATTCTGGGGAATGCAAGAGAAAGAATTTTTTTTTTTTTAGCTGTTGATATTCTAGCTAAAATCATATGGAATTTCATTAGACAAAGGGGAACGTACTTCTTTAGCCCAAGGGCTTTCTCTGCTGAATTTCAAAGGTCTGCAGCAAAGGCTTCTATTACAAAGCTATCTCAGGGAAAGGTCATAATCTTTCATAATTGAAAAGCAACCTAAATATTAGGGTTGCTTCTATTATTCAATGCTGTTGATCATACCTTAGACATTGCTTCTCATAATAGCTAAGATTGATTTTTTTTTCCTAAGAAAGGCGAACCTGTATTGACTGACCAGATGAAACAATCTGTTGTAAGAGCTGAATTGCTCTGCACTGTTATCTTAGTGCACAGAAGAAGCAGGGAACCATAGCTCTTTTCTGAGACAAGCTGAGGAACAATTTCTGTTAATGTTCTGGAAGTTGAGAGAAACATAACTGAGAAGCAGGAAGGAAAAAAAAATCACAACCTAATTTTATAGATTTTGTAAAGGAATAGAAATGCTTCAAAGGTTAAAGCCTTCAATACTAACTATGTCTCTTAACTATGATACAGAGGACCCAGAGTTTTGGGAAGGCAGCTAGAGTCACAGTACAGCTCCCAAACCTTCTGGGCTCTTAATACTGTGGACTAAAAATATTGCAAACCTCTTGATCTTAAGCACAATGCCTGTTGGATTCTCTGCGTTTCTAGACATTTAGCAGTACTCTGCTCTATATGACATAGTAGTTAACAGCTGGGTAATGCATAGTCTGCCTTTGAGGTTCTCAGTCACATTTCTTTACTGAGCTCCATTTAGTTAGGCAGAACAATAAAACTTCAAGATTGCAACAAACTTTCTGATAATTATTTGTGAAACCCATCATTTTCTGAATGGTGATTGCACCTTTTTTTTTTTTTTGGTGAAATTGAATAGCCATCTTTCAGAACAATCTAAACTGTAAAAATTGTAAAAGTGCCTCTAGCTCAGTACTAGGCTTTTCTTTCAGTAAATCCTGTAAAAATACGTGACTGGTGTGGTATTGTTCTGTATATTTGCAGTGTGGTCCAAAAGGCTGAGGCATAAATTCTGTCAGTTGCTTTTTTTTTTTTTAATTATTGTTATTACTATTCATTTTTCCCCCTAGAAACTTGTTGTTTTGCAAGGAAACTCAATTAGTAGAGTATAATTTTGGGCAAGGCATGTATTTCTTCCTTAGTTGGTCTCACTGATGGCAACATCAGATAAAAGGATTAGCAGGAACTGTGCCATAGCAATACAGATCTCATTTACCTGGAGAAAGCCTTCTGCTGTCTTGACAGCTGTGTAACACTGTCAGCCAGGGGCGAAGAATCCTTGTGCTCTAATTTGGTTGAAACTTGAACACATGGGAGAATACAGCTATTACCTCTAGCCAAACAGAAATGAGTCAACATGTTGATTGCTTGAATGAATAAGCACCTTTTAAAGAAAGAGTGTTAACATAAGACTCCAATTATCTTTCCCACTGCTGCCTGCTACAAACTCCAAACTCCCCTTCTC